GCAGAGGCTTGACAACCATATGTCAGGAGTGCTCTGATGGTGTTTCCTGCTTGGCAGGGGGTTGGACTCGATGGCCCTTGTGGTCTCTTCCAACTCTATGATTCTATGATTCTATGATTCTATGATTCTATCTCTGTGTTAAACTTTGATTTTTTATCTTCAAACCCTCTTTTCCTTTTGTCCTCTTTTAACAGATCATTCACCTGATGGTATTGTAACCAGCCAGTGAATAGATCTTTTATTTCTTCATAAGGCTTGAGTTTGGGCCCTTGTTCTGTTTTTCTTACCAAGTCCTCATACGTGGCACTCTTCCCCTCCATATTGGCTTTTTTTATCCTTAAGACTTCTATTGGTGAAATCCACCAGGGCGTCTTTCTTTCAATGAGGTTTTTATTTCTCTCCCAAATCTGATATATAGGTCCCCTAAATATATGGCTTAAGAAAGCTCTATGAACTTTCACTTTCTCATACCAGAGGTATGCATGCCACCCATACCGGTTGTTAAACCCCTCCAGATCTAATAAGTCTTTATTCTCTAATTTTATCCAATCCTTCACCCAGAGTAGACATGCTGCTTCGTAATACACACTCAGTTCTGGTAGGGCAAAACCTCCTCTTTCTTGTTTGTCAATCAGTATTTTCATTTTAATCCGTGGTCGTTTCCCCTGCCAGATGAATTTCGCCAGGGTTCTCTGCCATTCTTTGCATTGTTTTACACCCTTAATAACTGGGAGAGTTTGAAATAGGAACAACATTCTCGGCAAGATGTTCATTTTGACCACTGCTATCCTTCCTAAAAAGGAGAGTTTCATCCTCCCCCAGATTTCCACATCTTTCTTTATATTCCTCCATGTAACTTCATAGTTGTCCTTATATAAATTTATGTTTTTAACCGTAATCCACACTCCCAAATATTTCACTTTCCTGGCCACCATAATTTCTACCTTTCTTTCTAATTCTATCGTTTCTTCCTTGGTTAAGTTTTTAACCAACATTTTAGTTTTGCTCTTATTTACTCTGAGTCCTGCCACGGCTCCAAATTCCTCAATTTTTTGTAAGGCTTCCTCTACACTATCCTTTGGTTCTTCTAATGTCAGCACAATGTTGTCTGCATAGGCTTTGATTTTAAATTCTCTCTTTCCTACCTTGATCCCCCTCACTTTCGTTGATTCCCTCAGTCTCTCATTAAGTATTTCCAACACTATTATAAATAATAGGGGGGACAGGGGACAGCCTTGTCTGGTCCCTTTATAAATATTGAAGTACTCTGTTGTTGTATTATTTATGACCAACTTTGCTTTCTGTTCTTTATATATTGCTTCAATGCCCCTTCTAAATTTTTCCCCTATTCCCATCGTTTCCAAACTCCTCTTTAGAAAATCCCACGAGATGTTATCAAATGCCTTTTCCGCATCTATAAAAACCAGTGCCGCCTTTCTATCTATATTCATGTCCAAATATTCAATAACATCTATCAGATTCCTTACATTGTCCCGTAGTTGTCTCCCTGGAAGGAAGCCTGCTTGATCTTTATGTATTTTATTAATCATAACCCTTTTTAGCCTTTCCGCCATTATGTCTGCAAATATCTTATAGTCGTTGTTTAACAGTGAAATTGGTCTATAATTTTTTACGTCCAAATTATCCACGTCTTTTTTGGGAATCAATATAATATAGGCTTCCTTCCAAGTTTTAGGGATCCTTCCTTCTTTCAGTATATTATTCATCACCTCTCCCAACACTGGAGCTATCTGATTTATTAATGTTTTATAATATTTAGCCGGGAGGCCATCCGGTCCTGGCGCCTTCCCGGCTTTCATCTTTCCTATAGCCTTCTTTATCTCTTCCTGTGTGATTTTCTGATCTAAAGCCTCTTTTTCTTTCTTTGCAATTTGTTTAAGATGGTGTTTTTGCAAATATTGGTCTATTTCTTTTTCTGTTTCCTTTCCTCTGTTGTACAAATCCTTATAATATTTTTGAAATATCCTTTTTATTTCCTTTGGCTCTTCCACAATCCTTTCTCCTTCTCTTATTTTACTAATCGTGTTTTGTTTCTTCCTTTCTCTTAACTGCCACGCTAGATATTTCCCTATCTTATTTGCAGATTCAAAGTTCCTCTGATTCATCCACTTGATTTTCCATTCTATCTCTTGGTTAATTATTGTGGAAAATTTAGCTTGTAATAATTTTAGGTTCTGTTTTATACTCTCATCACTCGGATTAACCGTCAATTTTCTTTCGTTTTCCATAATCTGTGTTATACCGTATTTTTCGCACCATAGGACGCACTTTTTCCCTCCTAAAAAGCAAGGGAAAATGTGTGTGCGTCCTATGGAGCGAATGCACGGGGGAGGCAGGCGGGAAAAGCCCTCAAGAGCCGCACACAAGCTTCGTGCGCTCTTGCGGGCTTTTCTCCAGGAGGGAGAAGGGACTGACTGGCTGCAGCAGTCCCTTCTCCCTCCTGGGGGAAAAGCCCCCAAGAGCGGCACCCTTTTTAAAGGCTGCGCGGCTCCTGCGGGCTTTTCTACGAGGTGGGGGAATCCCCCCACCTCCCAGAAAAGCCAGGAGAAGCCGCACAGCCCCTTTAAAGAGCGTTCGGCTTTTGCGGGGGGTGGGGGAAGCTGCAGCAGATTCCCTCCTCCCGGGCTCCCTTTGAAGTGGCAATGTGGGAGGGGAGCAGCTTACACTCGTGTAAGCAGCTCCTCTCCCACTTTCCTCCTTCAAAGCAACTACGGAGGAGGGAAGGAAGAGGACCATGGATCCTCCGCTGCTGGAGGCTTCAGCAGATTCCCCCCTCCGTGATTGCTTTGAAGCAGGAAAGTGGGAGGGGAGCAGCTTACACTCGTGTAAGCAGCTCCTCTCCCACTTTCCTCCTTCAAAGCAACTACGGAGGAGGGAAGGAAGAGGACCATGGATCCTCCGCTGCTGGAGGCTTCAGCAGATTCCCCCCTCCGTGATTGCTTTGAAGCAGGAAAGTGGGAGGGGGCAGCTTACACTCGTGTAAGCAGCTCCTCTCCCACTTTCCTCCTTCAAAGCAACTACGGAGGAGGGAAGGAAGAGGACCATGGATCCTCTTCGCTGCTCGAGGCTGCAGCAGATTCCCTCGTCCCGGGCTCCCTTTGAAGCAGCAAAGTGGGAGGGGAGCAGCTTACACTCGTGTAAGCAGCTCCTCTCCCACTTTCCTCCTTCAAAGCAACTACGGAGGAGAGAAGGAAGGGGACCGTGGATCCTCCGCTGCTCACGGCTGCAGCGGATTCCTCCTCCGTGATTGCTGGGAGCTTCTCTGGGCAGGAATTCCCTCAGCTTAAGTGGGGTGGGGGAAGTGTGGCAGGTAGGGGGGTACCTACCTAGACACTGAAGCCACATGTCTCTTAGATGAAAATTGGGAGTGAGCATTGTGTGAAGTGGCTGTGGATCTCCTGCCGCAGAACTGTAGGACTGTATAGAGTTGGGAGGGCCACCCAAGGGTCATCTAGCCCAGCCCCCTCACAATGTAGGAATCACAGCTAAAGAACGCCAGGCAGATGGTCCCCCAACCACTGCTTAAAAGCCTCCAGTGGTGGAGACCCCAAACACCTTCCGAGGTCATAGAATTGCAGGGTTGGAAGGGAACCCCAGGAGTCATCTAGTCCAGCCCCGGTGGACAGCGGGCGCAATCCATCCCATTGCGCAAGACTAAAGATGCTGCGCAAGGCTAAAGAAGAAGCCAAGGCAGGGATGGATCGCGCTTGCTGCCTTGTCTTCTTCTTTAGCTGCACTGGAGAGGTTTAGCTCCTGGCTGGAGAAGTTGCGCGGCTATGGATCCCGCGCGCTGTCTTGGCTTCTTTGCTCTTTGGGGCTGGGGGGGGGGACCCGGGCTTCCCCCGCAGCCCCGAGAAGCTCTGGGAGAAGTGGACAGGCTGCGTGCAGCCTGTCCGTTGCTCTTTGGGGCTGGGGGGGGATAATATTTTTTTCCTTGATTTCCCCCTCTAAAAACTAGGTGCGTCCTGTGGTCCGGTGCGTCCAATAGAGCGAAAAATACGGTAATCTGATCTTTCTTTTTATCCTTTTCTTTTCTCAATTGGCTGTTTTTCTGGATCAGGAATCCCCTCATAACCGCCTTTCCGGCGTCCCATACCATTTCTACAGTGGTTTCTCCATTCAGATTCCATTTAAAGTAATCTTCAATTGTTTCTATGGCCTTATTTACAATCTTTTGGTCATTGAAGAGGAATTCATTCATTCTCCATCTTCTTGTTTTATCATCTCTACCTTTTAACTCAATCGAAACCGCATTATGGTCTGATATAGTTCGTGGCCAAATTTCCGACTTAGTTAAATTCTGTGTCATTTCCCTCGAAACCCAGATGCTGTCTATTCTCCCCCAACTCTGATTCGGGTTTGAAAAAAAAGTGAATTGTTTCACAGTAGGGTTTTTTATATCTCCACGCGTCCGTCAACCCCAAATTATTGACCATATCGAAGAAGGATCGAGGCAGCTTGCCCTCCTTCTTATCACTTCTTTTGTTAGCTTATCTATATCTGGCATCACCACCCCATTAAAGTCCCCCATCAATATCATTTTTTGATCCATCCATTCCATCAATATAGTCTCTAATCAGAAAAAAAACCTGATTTTTTTATCGTTTGGTGCATATACTCCCACCACAATTATTCTTTCTCCGTGAAATACCATCTGTACCACCACCACTCTCCCATGTTCATCTTTATACAGTAGTTGCGGCTCGTATTTTTCTTTTATATATATTACAACCCCTCTTTTCTTAACTTTATCAGAGGTCACGAAGTCCACTCCCAATCTTTTATTACTTAGTACCCTCTTATGTTTGCCTATTACGTGCGTCTCTTGAAGACAAATTAAATCCCAGTTCTTTTTCATTAATACATGTGCAATCTGATTCCTCTTATTTTTATTATTCAAACCATTCACGTTCCAACTTATCGCTTTTAAAACCATCTATTACTGTTAGTCTGTCTAATTTGTCTGAACTAAGTGGTAACTACTGTTCCTCGTCCTCCTTCTCTTCTTCTTCCCTTTCTCCTGTTGTACTCTCTTCTCTATCTTCTTCCTCACTCTCTTCACCTTCCTCGTCTCTCTGATAATCTTCCCTTTCCTCCTCTACGTCTATCTTTCCCAGTTTCTTCTCATATCTCCTCGTAAATTTCTGAAGCTCTAAACTGGTGCTTAACTTAAACCTTTTTTCTTTGAAATAAAATGAAATGCCCTCCGGAAACTCCCATCTATACAAGATCCCAATTTTTTTCAATTGAATTGTTAGCTTTTTGTATGGATCTCTTCTCCGAAGAAATCTCGAAGGAATTTCTTTAAAGATAATAATTGGGTTTCCTCCAATGTATAACCTTTTGATGTGGTTTTGTTTCAAAATTTCATTTCTTATTTCCATCGTGTTGAACATAACAATTACATCTCCTGGCAGTTTTTTCTTTTTAACTTTATCCACTCTTGACCTTATTCGAAAAATATTTACCAAATACGAGTTTATTTCGTCTTCTTTTTTATCTAGCCAACTTGCTAGCTCTTTTGTCACTTTAGATCTAATATCCTCGTTTGGGATCTCTGGTATACCTCTCAGTTTCAAATTAGTTTGATTTTGCCTCATCTGGGTCATAGCCATATTGTCCAACAACTCATCCTGCACCTTTTCTATCTCTTTAACATCTATTCTTATCTTATCCACCTCCTTCTTACTGTTTTTTGTATCTTTTTGCACCCTCTTCACCGAATCCTCCAGAGCCTTAGTTCTTACCGATAGCTCTTTAACCTTTCCCGTCAATTCCCCAACCACCCCCTCCAGCCTCTTATCCAAATTCTCTTGTACTTCAAGTAATTTCCTCTCTATATACTGTTCATTGTTTTTAAATTCTTTTCTTATTTCAGCCATCAAGCTGTTATAGTCTTTAATCTCTTTCATTTCTTTGCCGTCTTCCTGTCTCGACGCTCTCCTTTCCGCTGGCGTTGCCGCCGCCTTTTTTGCACCATTCGTCATTTTGTCCGCTTAATACGTCTCGACAAAGACAGGAGTAAAAGTTAACCTCACTAGCCAGCCTCGCTAGCGCCTTTCCACCAGTGGGGCACCAGTTCTCAAGTCAGTTCTAATAAGCTATTGAGGTTGGCGTTGGGGTGAAGTGACCGGTTGTGGGCGCCTCGGTACAGCCAGACTTTACAGACTTTACAAACCTTGTCTTCTTGAGAGTTGATATGATGATTCTAAAGCCAGCAAAAGCTTTTCAAGAGAGAGACGTGATGAGATACGTATTGTAGGTGGGAAAGAGTGATAGGAATGAAAGGTTGGTCCTTTACTTGTGTCTGTCTACACTATAGGAAGAGGAAAGAGGTTTTGGGAATGGCACATTGCAAGATGGCAAAGGGCCAGTTCACACAACTATGTGTGAATGATCCATCCTAGGTCTAAACACCACAGACAGAACTTTAATCTTGCCTCATATCTCCTGACATGCAGTGTCTTTCAGAAAGTCAGTTCACACATTCAACCAAGTGAAGAGGCATGCATGTGTGTGCAGGCGAATTCCATGCAAGGCGTTACTAGGAAATGGATTGAAAATGAGTCTCATTATCACAATGCCATTATACAAATACCATGGAGTACCATTACAGTTCTGGCCTTTACACCTCAAAAAGGATACTGTAAGGCTAGAAACAGTGCAGAAAATGACGTCCAAAATAATGATGGGGTGGAGCAGCTCCCTTATGAGGGCTTTTTAGTGTGGAGAAAATGCATATTGAGGGAGTGGGGACCTGATAGGGATGTATAAAATTCTTCATGGTGAGGATAAAGTGGACCGAGAAATGTTTTTCTCCCTCTCTCATAATACTGGAACCTAATGGGGTCATTCCAATGAAGCTGAATGGTGACAGATTCAGGACAGGCTAAAGAAAGGACATTTCCACACAGCACATAGTTTAAACTGTGGCATTTGCTGGCACAAGATGGAATGATGGTCACCAAAAGGGGATCAGACAAATTTGTGAAGGATATCAATGGATATTAGTCCCTAGGCCAGGATACTATTACTTCTAGGATCAGAGCAGAATGCCTCTACGTATAAGGTCCTGGGGGGACATAACAGGGTCATTGCTGTTGTGTTCAAGTCCTGCTTTTGGGTTCCCCAAGAGAGGCATCTGATGGGCTATTGGGTCTGATTCAACTGCTATCTTCTTATGGTGTGATGTACCTATCAGCTCATGCATAAGTGGATCATCCAAAAGGCACAGCCCAGAAGCCAGTGTTAGGCTCTCCTTTCACATGCAGCAGAAAGGAAAGAGCAGAGGATGTACACCACTTAAAAAGTGCAGGGCATCTGCTGTCTGGGTGGCAAGACTGCCACTGCTAACGTATTTGCATCTTCTATGTTCCAGCCACTAAGCAAGCGCCAGGCTTCAGCCCTCGTGGCATGCATGACTAATAGGAAGGGGTATCATGCACAATTCTCCTGTGCCGCTGCAGGAATGCACATGTGTCAAAGCATTATTATAAGCCAATGTGGTAATAACAATTTGTGCTTCCTTCCCCCCCAAAAAAGTTTGCAGGAGAAGCTTGTAATCAGTAGTCCAAATACAGCTCAGTCAGAGTGGACTTTTATACTTCACTATAAAACATATTTGCTTGCTTTTTGCTCTCTTGCCTGTGGATCTCACCTCATGAACTTTTCCAAATGTGTTTTAGAACAGAACAAGCAGGATTCTGAAATTCAGAATTCACATCCACACCCTTTAAATCTTTCTGGAGAGGGAAAGAAGATAAGCGTTCATTCAAAATGCAAGAATATTATGCTGTGCCTAACTATGCAATTCCCTTTCCATTTTTTTTTAAAAAATATTTAATAAGATGTGTAAATTGGTTTACACTTGTTAGTTCCCTTTCTCACACATGCCATATTGCAGTTCCAGCGATTCCTTTGGCAGTCAGAGAGCAAACAATTACTTGCTTTTTAAGTCTCCTTTTAAACAGAAGGAAGAGTTAATCATCTCAGTCAAATTATGTTGCAAGTTGCAACAAAGAGTGTTTTTAATCTGAAGTACTTTCTAGTAATTTAAACAAAATGAGGTTAGAGTGAGGCATTTACCTGTGGAAAACAATTGCTTTTTTTCTTCCAATTAATTCAGCTTCAATGCCTTTCCTTTCCTTCTTTATATAAAAAAAGTTTCCTATTATGAAGGAGCTTCCACAACAAATCTCACAGATCTTCTCTCTGGGTGGCTCTCCAAATAAGGAAAAGATTTTCAAGAACAGATGAGAAAGACTTTTTAGGACTAGGATTTCTGCAATGGTTCCTGCAGTATTCGTAAGTAAAATATTGTTGCTCTTGCAAATATACAGTATTTACTTGAGTCTAATGCGCCATCGAATCTAATGCGCACATCAATTTTCAGAACCTTGAAACCAAAAAAAGTATTTGCAGGGAAATGTAAATGTGCCATCGAATCAAATGCGCACCTTAATTTTCACAATGTAATTTGGCCAGAAAAGGTGAGCGTTAGATTTGAATAAATATGGTAGATCATGCAGACTCTCCTTTTGTTGTTCCATATTCTCCACCCCAAAGGACACCTTTCCTGGGCCAATAGAATACGCCATCAGAGAGAGCTGCATCATACATTACCAAACACCAGAAATTGCTTCTCTGGGTGCTGCTTCACACAGAAGCTGTAGCATTTTGAAAAACATTTTCCATGTGATTAGTTGAACCATGTGGGAGTTGGCTTTCAAAGGACCGGATTATGTGCCACAGGGAGTGAAGTGTAGAAGTGGGAACTAGGGTGTGCTGATTTCCCATTATTCTGTTGTTGGAGGACTGATGTCATCATGGAAATTACTGTCAGCTGCAACCATGTACATGCTTTTGTTTCATGGGTACAGACATGGTTGCAAATAGTCATTTTGCCTACTCATGTGAAAAAGGAAGTAACTTCCAATGGACCCTTTTTAAAAAAAATGAAGGGTGGATTTCCTAGTGTATAACAGCACTGACCACTATTTAAAATATTTCAGTTCCATTTCTGTTTCTGGCATTTTGGAACACAAGCATCTTGCTAGCTCATAATTTCCATGCCCTAGATTGGTTCTGTGCTGCCAGGCTAGCCATTGGCTCTCCTCAACAGGAAGTGGCTTCTTCTTCAGGCTGGAACTTTGTCATTGGTAACCTAGAATGGATGCCTAGAATGGCAGAGTGGTTTTCCATGTGATGCACAGGTTTTAAGTAGAATGCAGTTCTTGTTGCCTGCGTGTGTGCGTGCGCAGATATTTTATCTTGCTGCTGCTTTTTTACATTGAATTACTTTTTTATTATGACATTTGCATTTTGTTTGTGTTTGTTTTATGATGTTGTATTTTATTTCTATATTGTATTTTATACTGTACGTTGCCTCTAGACTATTTTATAGCTAGGTGCCCCATAAATTGAATGAATGAATAATACACGCAATGACATCCAATGAAGCTGAATTTTGGGAGACATTCAGGAAAGATAAAAGAGAGAACCTCTTCATGCGGTGCATAGTTAGACTATGGAACTCTCTGCCACAGTCTGTCACCAACTTGGATGGCTTTAAAAGGGGATTAGACAAATTAATGGAGGACAAGGGTATCAATGGCTCGTAGCCACAATGGCAGTGAGGTGATCATGGGTGGTCAGAGGAATCTGACTATGGTGGGAAGAGGATGCTGAACTACATAGACCATTGGCCTGATCCAGCAGGCTTGTTTTATGTTCTTACATTCTTACCTTTGCTGATGAATGTGGCTAATCTTTACCTTAAAATTCAGCATTATTGTTGGCCATCCTGTGACTGTGAGTTCCAAATATCAATTTGTGCACTGTATATGGCGGGAAACCCCTGTTTTCTAAAGCACCATTACCAAAACAATTATTTTAATGTCATTGTGTCCCCTCTAGCATATGCCAAATGGCAAACAAACACACTTCTATTAATCTCCCAACATACATTATTTCTACTAAATCAGCAAGGCTTAGTTCCTATCACTGAGTCATCTCTCTCTTAACTGGAAGTCTTTTGCTTTTATTCCCCATATTTTGTGTGGGAGACATTGCATCTCGCTTAATTGTTTCCCTCCCATCGTTATGTTTTCCTAAAGACTGGAACAGGGGTTGCACACATTTGTCAGATAATGGGAGATAAAGAGCCCCTGTTTATCCATGGGCTATTTCTCTTGCATTTACTTCATTCCTACCTTCAGGAATATACCTGAACAAATTAATGGGGTTGTGTTTTCTGCCTTACTCAGACTTGGAACTTGGGGTCTCCTTGGAAAAGTAGGAGTTTGCCAGGCTCCAGAATGTCCAGCAACCTCAGTATTTTGAGGAATTTTGAGGAAAGTCACGGGGACTCACTTCTTTCTTCCCATGCTTGTAAAAAGGTAAAGGACCCCTGACAGTTAAGTCCAGTCACAGACGACTCTGAGGTTGCAGTGCTCATCTCACGTTTGTCCACAGTTTTTCTGGGTCATGTGGCCAGCATGACTAAGCTGCTTCTGGCACAACGGAACACTGAAACCAAGCAGTGCACGGAAACGCCGTTTACCTTCCTGCCGGAGCGGTATCTATTTATCTACTTGTGCTGATGTGCTTTTGAACTGCTAGGTTGGCAGGAGCTGGGACCGAGTAATGGGAGCTCACCCCGTCATGGGGATTCGAACCGACAACCTTCTGATTGGCAAACCCAAGAGGCTCAGTGGTTTAGATCACAGCGCCACCTGCGTGTACCTCCTAGCTAGTCTCCCCACTGCCCTCACCACCTTAATAGGTAGCATGGCATTGGTGGCATGCTGTGGAGCAAATCTCAATAGAGTTGGGCCTGCCATCTTCATTTCTAGAGTCTCATATTGATTGATTGATTGATTGATTGATTGATTACAACTTTATCTCACCTTGTCCTCCAAGTAGCTCAAGCTGGCATATCTCCCTTCACAATAACTCTGTGAGGTATGTTAGGTTGAGAGACAGTGACTGGCCCAAAGTCACCAAGTGAGCTTCATGACTGAGTGGGGATTAAAAGCTCCTGTCTTGCAGGTCTCTGTCCCCCACTCCAACTGTTAACACCATGTTGGTGTAGAGGCACAGCATACTGGGAGGCAAAAGTGGTAGACGCAACTTTTGCCAATGGGTGGTGTTGTTTGGTGTCTCCTCAGACTGTGGGCTCCCAAAACTGTGCCCTGCCCAGCACCATCGATGCCACTGCTTCCTGACCCAGGGGGAAACAGAGAGGCTCTTCTCTCAGGATGACTGAGGATTTGCACCCAAAACTTGGAGAGCCTCATTTGGGCAGGAGAGTGCCCAAAACACAACACAGCGGCCTTCATTACATTTTGAAGTCATACACATTACCATCTAAAGAGGTGTTCCTCCCCCGAAGAGCATTAAGCCTGGAGTCTAAAATCACCTGGCTGCATCACCGCACACACTCAAACCTGAGTGTGCAGTTTTTTCTCAGACACATGGAGGTGCTTTGAAAAGTGTAGCTAAGGCCTTTGTTAGTCGGGGTATTTCATCTTCTGGGTGTTTAATGAATGCCAGAGATTGTAATAGATCAACAGTAAGTGGCGCTGTGGGTAAAACCTCAGCGCCTAGGGCTTGCCGATCGCATGGTCGCCGGTTCAAATCCCCGCGGCGGGGTGAGCTCCCGTCTTTCGGTCCCAGCTCCTGCCCACCTAGCAGTTCGAAAGCACCCCTAAGTGCAAGTAGATAAATAGGTACCGCTTTATAGCGGGAAGGTAAACGGCGTTTCTGTGTGCTGCGCTGGTGCTGGCTCGCCAGAGCAGCTTCGTCACGCTGGCCACGTGGCCCGGAAGTGTCTCTGGACAGCGCTGGCCCCCGGCCTCTTAAGTGAGATGGGCGCACAACCCTAGAGTCGGACACGACTGGCCCATACGGGCAGGGGTACCTTTACCTTTTATTTGTGCTGGTCCCGGGGGTAAGGTACCGTGGGTGTAGCAGAGGGGTGTAGCAGAGTCCACACGAAGAGGGGCGAGGTCCGATGCAGAGAGCCGGGCGGGGAACAGGAACGCTGGAACAGAAGGCTGAGCAGGTAACAGGAATACCGGTTAGTCAGGAACAGGAAGCCGAGCAGGGAACAGGAGTACCGGATAGTCAGGAACAGGAGGCCGAGCAGGGATCAGGAACACAGGAAGGTCCGAAGCCAACAACGACGTTGCTCCCGCAACCTGGGGCCGGGCTGACTGGGCTTTTATCCTCTTCTAAGGCCAGGGGCGGTCCCGACCCCCAGGAGCCCCGCCTCCTCTGGCCTTAAGGCGAGCACTCCTCCTGGGGGCAACCAGTTCCCTTCGCCTCTCTGCCCTAAGCCTCTGCAGATCAGGAGAGGCCAAAGGGTTACTGGGCCCTGGAGGAGGCTCACCTGTGGCCACTGAGTCATCAAGCCCCTCTGGGGCCAGAAGGGCTTCACCTGGGGCCAGCTCCTGATGCACTGCCACAGGTGCAGGCTCTTCAGCATCTAGGCCTTGCCCCAGTTCAGCCGGCCCTGGAGGCGGGGACTCCTGTGCAGGCTGGGATTCCTCTGTTTCATCCTCCGAATCGGAATCCCAGGCCATCACATTATTTAAGTGGTTCCCAGGCCCAAGAATTAGGGGTTCTGCCAGTTCTAGATGGAGTTGCACTCTGTCTGAAAGAAGAGGTTAGGAAGTTCAGGGGTGCTCTCTGAACCATCTTTGTTCATGGAGGACCAGGTGGCCTGTGATGAACAGTGCCTATCATCAGCTTCAGATGGTATACCAACTGGATTGCTGGTGCACCTGGACAGTAATATCGTGGTCCCTGTGGCATTGGTAATCTCAGGTCTGGACTACCGTATGTGGGGATTCCTTTGCAGTTAGTCTGGAAGCTGCATCTAGTGCAGAACACCACAGCTTGGTGATGAGTGGTGCTCCTCACTGGGCACGTATCATGCCATTGCTGGAGGGGTGGGGTCTGCACTGGCCACCTATTAGCCACTGAGCCACTCTTAAGGTTCCACCCGAAATACCCTGGACCAGGTTGCCTGAAAAACTGTCTTCCCCTCCACTGTCCATTAAGGGCATTAGGGTCAGCTAATGGAACCCAGTTAGTTTTGCAACAGCCTGAAGATGATCAACTTGTGGTAACACGGAGACAGGCTTTTTAAATGGTGGCACCAGTGCTTAGATATGAGAGACCCCATCAATACTGGCATTCCGCCGACTCTTGAAGACACACCTATTTAGGTAAGCCTTCCTCTGAGCAGAATTTTATTGTTTTATTTATGAAAAAGCTCTTGTTATGCTTTTTAATTGCTTTTTTATGTTGTATATTTTAATGTTTTAGTTTCCAATGGAATTGTTATTGAATATTTTACTTACGCATTGATTTCATAGTTGTAAACAGCTTAGAAGACATTTTGGCATATAATTGGCTTATTTATTTCATAACTTTTATATACCACCTGACTGTAAAAAAAAGTAAAAGTAAAAACAGATCCAGTTTCACTTTCCATGTCATAACAATGTCATATTCAGGATTACATTTCACCACAGAGTTCCTGGGAGACGTCCTGAGCAAGTTTAGTGATCAGATCAAACCTTTCCACTGCTGAGAGCTGAAAGCTGGATTCTGGTACAATTGTCCCTCCCTGTTATTCAAAACATAGTAGCACTTTGAAAAATAAAGAGGACAAACACTTTATTTTCCAGACACAACTGAAGCTGTGCCTTGGTTTAAGTAGGAAAGCTTTTGTTTATTATTGCGTTTATTTATTATGTTAGTGGGCTGATTTATTTGATTTCTGCTTTGGCTTCATGGCTGTAATAAGTTTAAACAAATATAAAGGATCGATTTCATGGCTAGCCTCCAGCAGATATTGGAGCCTAATCTGTCAGATCAGAAGAAAAAAGCATCCCGAGTTTTTGCAGGAAGAACTCACTGAAGGACTCCCCCTATTATTTAAAGAAATAATACCAGTGTTGCCCTAAGCACTGTAAAACCACACGTCTGAATTGCCGTCACGTTCTTCTGCAAGTGGCAATTTTAGAGAGAGAAAAGAAGAGGCAAAAATGCCACTAGCCCTTCTTGGAAAAGAATCCAGATCCCCGAAGACCCAGTCCATCTTTTCTAGGCGGTTGCATCTGCTTCTCCTCTCCAGTACTCCTTGATGCTTATTGCACTGTACTATTTCGGTGGCCAGTCTGGGTGGAAGAACACGGTGAGGTGCCACGCCCCTCCTCCCTTCCCAACAATCCCACCAAAGCAAATCCAGGACGGCGCAGGGATCTCTTGTTGTGCCTGTGTGCTGAGGCTGGGACTGTCACTCATTCTCTGATCAGCTCATGAAAGCAGCTAGATAGCAGCTGGACAAAAATAATATATATATATATATATATTAAAATATTACACCGTTCCGGGGGGATTTTTTCCCCACGTCTCCCCCCACCCTTCTTCGCTTTGCACCTGAATCTCTCGTCTTAACCGGCCCAGGTTCCTATTTGGAAGAGGAAAATATATATGCAAGAAAACTTCGTCTCCATTCGGCAGATGACAATGCTTCAAAGCAAGGATCTCATCTGGACTTTGCTATTCATCGGGACTGCAGGTACACCTTTTTGCATTTTTTTAAAAAAGCAAACCTTAAAGTGATGATTATTTGCATGTAATTTCCTCTGGATTGAATGCTGGTGTCTTACACTCCCCACCCCGCGTCCCCGGCTTCAGTTTGCAGCAAGGGATGGAATCCGGTTTGTTTGCTCGGATGGCAGACCGGGGGGCTTTGCAATTTGCCTTCGCGGCTGGCTTCTTCCTCCAAATGTTTGTCGCGTGGAATTTGTACGCGTGAGGTTTTTCTTATTTTTGGTAACCGTTGCTTTTGCTCCCCCCCCTTCCCAAATCCTCCATCCTTGTTGCATGCCTACATTTTTTTTTTGAAGGAAACATTTTTTGGGTGACTCTTGATGGTGCTAGGAGACATTTGGTTTATATGGGAGGTGCTGCTCCAACAAACCGGAATGCTAAACATGAGTCTCTCTCTCCTCCCCCCCTGCTATTCCCCACCCCAAGATCCAACTCGAGCATCTTCAGAATAAACCAGGCGAGGGGGGGGGTGTCCTCTCATTTTTTATTTGTCTTTTAAAAATAAAATAAAATAAAAATGGCAGGGACCACCTTCTGCCGTTGCCTGCTTCGGAGAGGATTGTCAGACTCTGCTCTATTCTGTTAACGGTTTGCAAATTTGAGATCTAGAGGGGGCACGAGGGAAAGAAAATCCGGGAATGGAATTGGTCCGGGGGTTGCGGCTGGGGGGGGGGAGAGGGAGTTAAGGAACCCTGTGGAGCTGGTTGGGGGGGGCGAGAGAGAGCGTCTCGTTTTTGGAATTGGTTCGGAGTCCTTTCTCGCCCCCCCTCCCCAGGGCTGAGTGCATGGTGTCTTTGCTTCTCGAGCAACATTGTTCTCATTCAAAAGAGCATACAGAATTGAGGGATTGGCTGGAACCGGGGGCGGGCGAGGCGGAGGGTTGGGGGGGGGGGTTGGCAAGAGAAGGGAAGACCGAGCGGTTTGACAGCAGAAAGTGGAAAAGCAGAATAGAAAGGGGGGTGGTGGGTGGAGAGGGCGTGAACCAAGGGCATGCGGGGGGGGGGAGGGAGGGCTCGGGTACGTTTGATGACTCTATTTTTTTTGGGGGGGGGAGATGGGGAGGAGATGCAAATAGTGGCGAGATCAGCCCTCCTGTCTCTCTCTCCCCCCCCCTGTGTGATCCTCAGGCTTGTGTCTATTGCCAATTGCAGACAATGGAGGGAGGAGAGAAGGGGGGGGGTTGAGGATGCTGCGTGCGATGTGTTAATGGTGCCGCCGTGTGAGCAGCTGAAGCGCGTGGGGCGGGGGGGGGGGAGCGAGGCGGCGATTGGGGCTGTTTATTTCTTCAGCACACACCAGCGAAAGGCTGCTGCAAATTCCCCACAGGCATTTTCTTCTTATCATTATTATTTGCAGCCGGGAGTGGTGGTGGTGGAGGGAAATCGACGCTTTGCATTTTGCAAATACATCCCTGAGTTGCGGGGGGGGGGAGGAGAAGAGAGAGAGAGGGGGGGGGAGAACAGGATCGCTCGCTCGCTCGCTCAATAAATAAATAAATAAATACTGTAGATAAACAAACGGGCAAGGGAGGCGACGTCGTCGTTGCAAAGGGGCCAGGTGGGGCTGCGTGTGAATTTATGGCGGCGCAAATGGGGAAATTGCTTTTTAATTTTTTTAAAAAAATCAAATCTGGGTACGGGCGGGGGAGGAAGCTCCCCACAGTGCAAACGCGCCCCCCCCCATCCCCGCTTTCCATCCCCAGCGGCTTGTACGCGCCGTGTGTGTGTCTGTGCGCGCGCGCGCGTATTGACGCGTGCATTGCAATAGATGGAGAGCGCGCGCGCGCTGCTGCTGCTTGCGATGGAAGCGACGGGCGAGCGCGAGCCACACTGCCCGGGCTGAGGTGTGTGTGTGTGCGTGGGGGGGGGGGTTGTTGATTGAAGCTTCGGCCAATCAAAACCTAGCAGAGGCCGAGCGGGAAATGCCGTTAGGGTCTCTCTTTTTTTTTTTGGATAGCCCAACGTTCGGAGCAACCCCGCCCCACGGGAGCGCCCCCTCCCCTCCAGTTCCTAACGGGCATCATTACCTCAGAGGGGCAGCCCGCCAATGTTGCCAAATGTCTCTCCTCCCCGCAAAAAATAAAATAAAAATCCACGACGCTTCACAGCTTCCGACAGTTAGGCGTATTATAAACCAGATTCTTACTCCACCTCCTCACCAGTTATTTTATTACACTGAAAAGCTCTTCCACACGTATCAAGAATGCCACATTTGTGGGCTTCACACAGTGGTAGTTGTTTCTCAAAGGCTTACTCCTCTCAGTACACACTGCGAAATTGTTTTTCCCTCCAAAGACCCCACATGGAGATAAAGCCGAAGAGGAGGCAGACTAGAATCCCACAGCCCCACCTGGCACCGCGCTTGCCTGGTGCCAGGCGTCTCTCGCTTGTTGTTGACGGAAATCCCCACAGAACTGCGACAAACGATAAAAATACCTCAGCCCTGCCACCCTCGTGGAAACGCAGCCTCACCTGAAGAAGCTTCCCACTTTCATGGCTGCTAGTAGCTTGTGTTATTGTCGTGGGGACAGCCAGATCCCTCACAAATGCCATCCTCGCATTCTGGGCTTGATGCTGAGGAACGGGGGTCGTTGGGGAGGAGCTGTTGGCAACAGGATATTTTTAACTTAATCAGATCCGCTTCACCCCCAGTAAATATTAAATGGGCGGGAATGCGGGATGGCATTTTGCTTACAGTGACGTTATTTGGTTGGTGCGAAAAAAACTTGTGTGCATGAAGAGCACCGATTTCAAATAAGCATCCGATGCCTAGAAGAAGCACTTTCTGTCACTGCTCTCCATCATTACAAAAGCCTCACAAAAGCCCTCGTCCCATCAAGGCAAAGGGTCAGCCTTCCTTATTGAAAATGGAAGTCCCTAAGTCTTTTATCAAGTACTGTAGTACTACAGCCACTGTCATGGTAAGCACCCCCTTGTTGGGCTTAAGGTTGGAGACTTTGGTATGATTCCCTCCTCTGATAATGATGCTCTGTGCTATTGAAACTCTGCACCAGGATAGGGAATGTCAGGGGCCAGATGTTGCCCTCCAGCTTCTCTGTCTGGCCCTTGGGACTTTCCCCAGGCCACACCCTTCACTGGCCTTTATTCACACCCTCCATGAATGCTTTTGCCTGGCTGGAATGTGTCCTTGAACTCTGATAATGCTTATTGCTTGCCTGGGTGGAGGCACTGTATGTATGTAGAAACTTGCTTACTGTACAAAGGTAAAAAAATTGCATTTGTTGCTCCACCCCCTTTTGTCTCTAACCCCACCCACCACTGATATATGGCCCTTGGAAGGTTGTCTAGAAGGGAATGTGGCCCTAGGACTGACAAGGTTCCTCACCCCGCTCTAAAAAAGATAGTATTGCCTCACCTGATTTCATTAAGAGGCCTCACAGGTTTGTACCCATTGTTGCGATAGCTCAGCCTGCGTTAGAATCCTATGCCATGTACACCAAATTAGATACTCTTTATGCTCTGTGTGAATAGGTCTGGCATAAGCTACCACCTCTAGTTCTCTATGCATTTAAGTGGGTTAAAAATACCCACTTCACCCATAAGTATGTAGTGAACGTGTGAAGCTCCAGGAAAGGTGAGTCTATAGTTTGTGTGGACAATCTACTATTAATTTATTTATTTATTAAATTAACATACTGCTTGATTGTAAAACAAAAACAAAAACCCAAAACGTTTTACAAAAGGAATACTGTAAACAATAAACACTACTGCTTGCAAGTTGTATCCATTGCTTCTTGTCCAACCTGCAACAGCTCTTTGCTGAGGTTTACTGCTACCTTGCCCAATGTTGCTGAGATACTACATCCGGTCAGTGCAAATAACAGTTGCTGTCACATCAGAGGTGGATTTAGGGAAGTGCAACTGGTTCTCCCACATTGGGCACCAAGCCAAGAGAGGATGCTGCAGGGGTGCTGCAAAAATGACAGGCAATGGAAGATGGGGGGTGGGGGTGGGATTTTGGCTTTGCACAATTTTCTTGTGAAAACTCAAAGTCTGCCACTGGTCACATAGTCTGCAAACAAGCACTGTTGGGATTCCATGCATCTTCTCAAGATACTGACACGTCAAAGCCCAGTGATCACTCATACACTTGATATTTCACCATTGCCATAACAAAAATTGCAAACGTAACTCAAACAAATTACCATTACTGTATACATATGCAACTGAAACCTCAACTGGATTACTCTTCCTCCCCTCATCTTTGCTACAACACAACACAACACACCTCATACAGTTCCGGTCCTCACCTCTGTGTAGTGGACTCATCAAGGCAATACCAGGAGCTTTCCATGAAAAATTCCAGACACTGCCACATTCTTAATGCATGCTCAAAACCATTTAATACAGATTATTATCTATTGGCATACTTTAACTAGCATGCATTGCATAGCACCATTGTGGTTGAAAGTGGGACTTTGAACACTTTCATTTATTGTTTAATTAACAAGAACTAATTTAATTTAATTTAATTATTTAATTAACAATAAATGAACTAATTGTGTAAAATTGTACCTCTATATTTTGTATTTGAGTGGAAGAAAGATGTAGAAGTTACAGTCTTTGTTGCAGATCATAGAATCTAGAGAAACCTGTTGTCCTCCAGATGTTCCATTCCCATCAGCCCCAGCCAATATGCCCAATGATCAGGAATGTTGGGAGTTGTAGTCCAGTGCCACAGGTTGCCCCTCCCTGATCTATTGCAAGAGATTATTTTGAATACATATTCTTCCTACCTATTTAGTTCCATCTTCTCTTCTCACTGTTAACAGTCTATACCACTAATGCTAATAGAATTGATCCAGAATTGGCCTCCACAGTCACTTACGGACCCACTGTTAAGACCGTGTTCATAGAAGACAATCTTACTTGGCTACGAGTGATCACCAATGAAAAGAAAGAAGTCTGTACCACTTCACTGAGCAGAGTAATAAGGATCAGGTTT